GTTGTCCAGCTGTAAGGTGAGAGTCAGCATGTTGTCCAGCTGTAAGGTGAGAGTCAGCATGTTGTCCAGCTGTAAGGCAAAGGTGAGTGTCAGCATGTTGTCCAGCTGTAAGGAGAAAGTGAGAGTCAGCTTGTTGTCCAGTTGTAAGGTGAGTGTCAGCATGTTGTCCAGCTGTAAGGAGAAGGTGAGAGTCAGCATGTTGTCCAGCTGTAAGGAGAAGGTGAGAGTCAGCTTGTTGTCCAGCTGTAAGGAGAAGGTGAGAGTCAGCTTGTTGTCCAGCTGTAAGGAGAAGGTGAGAGTCAGCATGTTGTCCAGCTGTAAGGTGAGAGTCAGCATGTTGTCCAGCTGTAAGGCAAAGGTGAGTGTCAGCATGTTGTCCAGCTGTAAGGAGAAAGTGAGAGTCAGCTTGTTGTCCAGTTGTAAGGTGAGTGTCAGCATGTTGTCCAGCTGTAAGGAGAAGGTGAGAGTCAGCATGTTGTCCAGCTGTAAGGTGAGTGTCAGCAAGATAGATTCGTGTCTTCTTTTTTTTTTTCATCAAAAGCAAGGCAAATGAGTAGGTTTTACGATTATGTCAAAAACTCCACATGCGGAGGTGGCCTACCTCAGAAAATTGCATCTCCCATCTACGCTTGCTTAACGGCTACTGAGGATGAAAAAGTAAAAGCAAGTACTCCACATGCTCAAAAAATTGTTGAGCTCCTAATTCCAGCTGTCGTGAAACACATCTTTTCTGTGTTGACATTACTTTGTTCAGAAAAGGTGAAAAAAGAAAATGTTGGGGGATTTTTTGTTGTTGTTTTTTTCTTTCCTCTTTTTATATGTTTTTACTGCTCTCCGTCTTTTTATTGTTTTGAGTAGTAGTCACGTGCTAATTTTTTTTCCTCAATTTTTATTTCAGAAATTGCCCCCAGATAATGCCATATATGTGAGGACTTGTAGCAAAGATCCCAAGAAAACCCGGTGGTGGTATCATGGTGAGTGCTCATGTGGTCTCCGTTACACAGTCTGGCTCGCCCATAGTGAACGCTCACACTGTCTGGCACACACAAAGTGAACACTCACACAGTGGACATGTACATAGCGAAATACACAGTGAAAATGCACGTAGCAAAACACACACGTAACGAATACGCTCATAGTGAAATATGTACACATGGCGAAATTCACAGTGAACATGCACATAGCGAAATACACACATAACGAATACACTCATAGTGAACACACACATAGTGAACATGCATATAGTGAACACATGTGTGGTGAACTCTCACATAGCGAAACACACACATAACGAATACGCTCATAGCGAAACACACACATAGTGAACATGCATAAAGTGAACACATTTGTGGTGAACATGCACATAGCGAAACACACACATAACGAATACGCTCATAGCGAAACACACACATAGTGAACATGCATATAGTGAACACATGTGTGGTGAACTCTCACATAGCGAAACACACACATATCGAATACGCTCATAGCGAAACACACACATAGTGAACATGCATATAGTGAACACATGTGTGGTGAACTCTGACATTGTGACACATGTACACAGCACCGTTCACTTGTGGTAATGCCTTAACCCTGCTGTGAGCCTGGGTATGTGCTAGAGAAAAGCTATTATTTACCCTATCCGCACGCCCTGGGGTCATTTTGTACCCCCGGGTTTGTATTCTTTACATTTTAGAATACTTGTAGTACGAAGATCTCTTTGAAACTTTCAGTGTTTCTCAAAAAATCATTTTGACAGACTGCTATGCAAAGCGTACGGATCGGATTAACAAGTAAATTAAATTTTCTCTTTTGAAAGTGGTGACACTGAGTTCCCCACGTCGTGTGGATACGATAGTAAAACATGTCGTACGGATGGGGTTTATGTTATCATATTATCTTTAGTATTACAGTGTGGTCAAAAATTGATGGCGCAACTTATTGTCAAATATCTCCTCAACTATCGAATATAAACTCTCCAGCTTTTGCACAGTGACTTGTATCAATTTGTCTTAACAAATCAATATTTTTGTAAACACCTGTTAGCTAAATTCCTTTATAAATACTAATTTAAAAATCCCATATGAGTGCTGTAAAGCCTCTACTAAAACTAAACTTTAAAAATCCCAGTGGGTGGTTTCTACAGATTTAGAAAGGTTTACAGCTGGTTTAAAAAGCAAGTCCGTCATTTGTTTCTAATTGCGAGATTATGTTTTTTGAACGCATGTTTTTGCTATTGTTTTGAGAACTTTAGTGCCAAAAAGTGTTCACTGTAAAATTAATTTTTTATAACTAGTTTTGCCCAAAAACAAAGTGTCATTGGTGAGCTGTGATGTAGGCCACATGCGTACACAAAATGTGTGTGAGAAGTGGGAAGTGCTGTGAACAATTCCATTTTCCGCATGAGGGAGGTTTGCTGTATTTTATAAATTTATGAAGAAATGTTTTTTAACCGTCCCCTATTGTTGTGGAAAAATATGATTACGTTCAGACAAATTGATACAAACTGCTGTGCCAAGTATGGGTGGCAGTGATTCACCAGTTAATGAGATATTTGAGGATAAGTTGCGTCTCGAATTTTTGACCACACTATATATAGGTTACGTGTATGAAGTCCTTTCTTTTCTAACTCCGTCTACCTTATTCCTTCTCTTGTGGGTGGTTGGCAGGTGCTCTGGTGTGGTTTACTTCTTCTTTCTTATGAAACATCTATCGCCGTTATCTATCGCCCTTATCTATCGCCCTTATCTATCGCCGTTATCTCCCCTCCTTCCTTTTTGTTTTGTTTTACTCTCTTGTAACGCCTCTAATCTCCGGCACTTCTATGACCTTATTGTGTTTGTTACTCTCTTGTAACGCCTCTAATCTCCGGCACTTATATGACCTGCCTGATTGCGTTGTGAGTGCCGTAGAACTCTTACTGAAACTAAATTCCTTCCTTGGTTTTTTTTCAGACAACAGTGTATGATGAAAGTGCGGACATAGTTTTCTTTAGTTTATGGACAAAGGGAACCCGGCCTGATGACCCCCCACCTCCACCCCCACATGACCCCACGGAGACTCAAGGACAAACAAGTGACACACAGCACCATCGCATCATCACACCATCACACCATTCAGCCGGCCGGCCGCTGCGTTGGAGGATTGTGTCCAGTGTGTTGTTCAGATCACGGCGATGCTTTCCCTCGGCTCAGGTGTTTGGGGGAAATTGTAGTCTCTTCCTCCTTGTCATTCCCATGCAAAAGTCAAAGTAACTCGGATGATGCTCATTGGTGGATTAGAAAACTTGGATGATGCTCATTGGTGGATTAGAAAACTTTGATGATGCTCATTGGTGGATTGTAATTTCTGATGATGCTCATTGGTGGATTAGAAAACTTTGATGATGCTCATTGGTGGATTGTAATTTCTGATGATGCTCATTGGTGGATTAGAAAACTCTGATGATGCTCATTGGTGGATTGTAATTTCTGATGATGCTCATTGGTGGATTAGAAAACTTTGATGATGCTCATTGGTGGATTGTAATTTCTGATGATGCTCATTGGTGGATTGTAATTTCTGATGATGCTCATTGGTGGATTGTAATTTCTGATGATGTTCATTGGTGGATTAAAAAACTCTGATGATGCTCATTTGTGGATTAGAAAACTCTGATGATGTTCATTGGTGGATTGTAATTTCTGATGATGCTCATAGGTGGATTAGAAACTCTGATGATAAACTCAGCGCCCTTTTTCTGGTGAATTGTGTGAAATGTTCACAAGAGGCTCTGTGCGTAGGTGTATGCCGGGGCGCGTGGCCAAGTTTTTTGACAACCATAGTCTGGAGTTGCTGTTGTTGTTGTTGTTGTTGTTGTTGCAGTGAGCAAAAGGGGAACTGACTTAATAATTGAACAACAAGTGATTGGATTCATTGTTTGTGTATTATTACATCATGTCTCATCTGATGTCAATGCCACTGATGTGTCACAATTTTCATCATGCTCATCGACAAATCAGCTGTGGCTACAGTTCATCATTTTTTAAATGAAAGATGGGTAGACTATTTCTTTGTTCTCCTTGTGAAAAGTAAGAGTGGCAGATTCCCCCCTCCCCTAGGACAGTGCCACTGACTGACATGTCTTTAGGCCATTCCCAAAGGGGGGACATTAACATGTTCTTATGCACAGTAGAATTGTAAATGGGCTGATTTATCAATGCCATGCTCATACTGTGCTGGAACAACATACGGGGAACTGCTGCTTTTTCTTTCCTCATCCTTTCTCTCGTCATTTTTCCTCTACTTCTTTTGTATGTTTGTCATTCTCTTGTTACCCGTTATTTCCGGGGTGCCTTGATAGTCGAAGCAGACTTTGTGCTGTTGAGGCTAGAGAGGTGAGCAGAGTAAGTCTGATTCCCTGTTTGGACTTCTCTGTTGACACCCACCCCTTCGCGCTCATATGACCTTGTGCAGTTGCGAGCGCCGTAAAACCTCTACTACAACTAAACTGAGCTAAATCAGCAAGAGCCTGACAATACCAGTGGTCTCACTGTGGTGGGAGTACGTTGCCCTATGGTTTTCTTACACTTCAGTTTCTCGTCTTTTGTAAACTCTTCATAGTGGGAGGTTGGCGGCTGCTCTGGTGAGGTTTGCTCTTTCTTTCCTCCTATCAAGCATCTTTTGTCCTTTTCTCTCCTCCTTTTCTTTGTAGGTTTATCTCTAGTACAATTACACCTCTGACCTTTGGCACTTATATGACCTATTTGTTGTGTCCTTAGTGCTGTTCAACTCTTACTAAAACGATAACTAAACTGTTCACTTGTATCTTTGCTATCCTGTTCAGGGCTCCGTGGTGGACAAGAGATATCTATATATATATGTATAGAAAACAACTAGAAACTTCTTTTTTTTTTTCATTGTGTAGAAGAAAGGTGTGTTTGTCGTTTTATTGTGTATTCAGGGGGGAAAAACGAACCTCCAAAAGTTTCAATGTCTCATTAGTAGACAGGGTCATTTTGTGACTTGTCGATAGCGATGTAACATTTCTGGATTGTACAGCATCATTTTGTCAGCCATATTTTATGCCTTCAAGAAATTGTGATAACAGTACGCCTGTTTGTGTTGGTTTTCATCGTGTGCTTTGCCTTTGTCGACGTCCTGTGGGGGTTTCTCTGTCACGGGTTCATGGAAAGAATCACACTGGGGGAGGGTAGTTGTAGAATTGGCCGGGGTGGGATGGGGGGTATGGGTAAATGTTTGCCGGCTGTGACCGGACATTCCGGCAAAAGAAAGCCAGCCGGCATCATGGTGTGGCCGTCCTTGACTGGACTAGCGTCGATCTCGTGAAGCACAGGTTTTTTTCCTTTACCTGAAAACTGTCTCCAAAAAGTCTGATTTATTGACTCATGTACTCGAGATGGAGGGATATTCTGTGCTACAGTTCCCAGAACAGTTTTTGTGGGCGAGGCGATATATATCTGCTTGATAATTTGAGACTAGGATGGACCTTCCGTTGTTACAGAGTAAATATAACAAGTATTGAGTTGTCGTTCGCTTCGATACGATATGATTTTTGTTTGTAAACGCTTTTTCAAATTTGTTGACAAAACAGGGGTGATTCGATTATCCTTTCAGACAAAGCCCCTTGAGATGCTATAAGTTTGAAAGTTTTCAGGCAAAGCCCCTGAGATGCTATAAGTTTGAAAGTTTTTAGGCAAAGCTCCTTTGAGATGCTATAAGTTTGAAAGTTTTTAGGCAAAGCTCCTTGAGATGCTATAAGTTTGAAAGTTTTTAGGCAAAGCTCCTTGAGATGCTATAAGTTTGAAAGTTTTCAGGCAAAGCCCCTTTGAGATGCTATAAGTTTGAAAGTTTTTAGGCAAAGCCCCTTTGAGATGCTATAAGTTTGAAAGTTTTTAGGCAAAGCTCCTTTGAGATGCTATAAGTTTGAAAGTTTTTAGGCAAAGCTCCTTGAGATGCTATAAGTTTGAAAGTTTTTAGGCAAAGCTCCTTGAGATGCTAAATTTTAAAAAAATTTCCTACACTAGGGTTGTGACCAACTTTTATCCGTGGGGAGGGGGGTGGGGTGGTGACTGGGTAAACTGATCTAGTGTCTTCTCACTGCTCATGCTGTCACTGTGCGCTGTGTCGTAGTATTTCCCACTACCAAATTCTCTTTGTGGGTGGTTGGCGCGTGCTCTGGTGTGGTTTGCTCCTTTTTTCCTATCAAACATCTATCGTCCTGATCTCTCCTCCTTCTTTTGTGTATTTTACTCTCTTGTAACCCTTCTAATCTTCAGCACCTATATGACCTTATTGTGTTGCAAGTGCCGTAAAACTCTTACTAAAACTAAAGAGACATGGCGTGTTAGCCTTCTCGGTGCAGATGGACGCGTGTTGATTTTTTTTCCCGATTAGGTGAGTTTCGTTTAATATGGGGTTTTACGGCGCTGGAAACTGCATAAGGTCATATGAGCTGGCCCCCATTATGTGAGGTGTAGCTGGTTGCTGCTGAGTGGACACTTTGACTCATGCCGCACTCACACGAGGACCGAGAAAATGTCTGAAAAATGTACGTTCATATTCTTCTTCTTTTTCTCCTTTTTACTATTAGAATAGAGTAGAACACGTTCAACTTAAGATTAGATTAATTCAGATAATACTTTATTATCCCAGAGGGAAATTTTTCTTGGCTGTACAGGACCGTTAAAACACATGCAAGTATCCATTTTTAAAAAAAAAAAAAATGATTTCACATTTGACATGGCACTTTCCTGCTGTTTAAGGGCATGAAAGACTTCCTCTCACATAGATGTGCTACAACGTCGTGGAATCGGCCGCTCATCAATTTTTAGCCATGTGGACTTTTTGGTATTGTATCATCTTAAAGCCTGTCCATTTGCCTTGCTTTTGATGAAAAAATATCCTTTTATCTTGGAGACAAGTCAAGATGTTGGCGAATGAAGGAGGTGGGGTGGCCTAATTTCAGAGGTAAGATTAACAAGAAAATGGCCACCAAAGTTATTTTTCCTTTGCTTGACAGTCCGTGGAAACTGAAAATTGACATGTTTTATGACTTTAATCAACATTTTCCAGTAAAGTCCACACGTAAATGTGTTGTTTGAAGGGAATGAAAGGCGTGGAGTCTAAAAACAAAAATTCAATGATAAATGTCCTTACCTGCGGAAAAATGACTTTCTTGACTTTCACTGTTTTGACGAGCGCCTCATTTCTCCACACTGACTCACATAATATACGTCTTCTTTTTCTCCTACTTGTATTAGAATAGAAAAGAGCATGTTCAACTTCCCCTCACATTTTGCGGCTTTTTGTATGTGGGCCGACTTTCCTCTTGGAAGAGAATCTTTAGCAAATTAGTTTTTAACAATTAATAATTAATCATATTAATAATGTCATCTTGGATGCTGTCGTTTCACTCTAGTCACTGGGGAACTTCCAAAGTGAGTGAGTCTGGGAGTTGAATCGTGTGTGTGTGTGTGAGTGAGTGTCTGTGTGTGTGGTTGTGTGTGTGTGTGTGTGTGTGTGTGTGTGTGTGTGCTCTCCTTTATAAAGAATATTTCACCTTTTACTACATCGCACTTTCCTCCTGTTTTTGTCATTACCGTGTCAATCATAACTCATTTACACATGTGTCCATTTCTTGTGTGTCAATCAGTACCATGTCACTGTTCCATCATTACTTGTGTGTCAATCAGTACTCACGTGTCAATCATTACTCATGTGTCAATCATTTACTCGTGTCTCAATCAGTCCCATGTCAATGTGTCAATCATTACTCATGTGTCAATCAGTTCTCAAGTGTCAAACATTGCTCATGTGTCAATCATTTACTCGTGTCTCAGTCAGTCACGTGTCAGTGTGTCAATCATTAAGTGCCCTTCAGCTATTGTTTGTAAATCTAAGTCCTCCGGCTTTTTTGGCTTTTTGGTTGTTATTTTCTTGAAGTCCTGGCTCCAGCTCATGGGTTTTTTTTCCTTCTTCTATTCCTCTGTCTCAGTCATTTTCAGGCTTGCCAACCGACCGGAATTTCCCAGTGAAATATTATATCAGTAGTACCTGTTACATGAGCAGTAACTGTGTTTGGTTCACTATCGTTAATTGCCGTAGTTATGTCTCCTTGTTGGAATGTACTAATTTGGCACTCTCCAGGATCAGCAATTAAAGTTATGATTTAGTAGTGTCATAAACATCCAACGTGGTCGGTTGCTGTTTTCAGGGGACGGTTGTTGTGCTCGGCTCTCCGTGTGTGTCTGACTTATTGTGAGACATCACCCCCAGGGTTGTCCTGGATTTGACAGTTGGGAATTTGAGAGGCGTATCACTCACACTACACACTACACCAGCCCTGGTCCCACCTGGTGGAGTCTTGTCAGCTGTTTCCTCGTCTCATCTTCTAATGTTGGGTGACCCCTGGGGCAGTGCTACTGACTCAAGTGTCTTTAGGCCATTCCCCAAGGGGGATATTGACATGTTCTTATGCACAGTAGAATTGTAAATGGGCTGATTCATCAATGTCATGCTCATATTGTGCCGGAACTGCAACAGGGAAATGCTGCTTTTTTTTTTATCCTTACTATCGTCATTTTTCCTCTACTTCTTTTGTATGTTTGTCACACTCTTGTGACCCGCTGTTTCCGGGGTGCCTTGATAGTCGAAGCAGACTTTGTGCTGTTGAGGCTAGAGAGGTGAGCAGAGTAAGTCTGATTTCCCGAAAGGACTTCTCTGTTGACATCCACCCCTTGTCGCTCATATGACATTATGCAGTAGCGATCGCCGTAAAACCTTACTAAAACTAAAATTATGTTGGGTTCCCTGATTGGGTGTAGAAAAGGTTGGCAAGCCTGCGTTTCGAAAGTTTTTGCAAATGTGTTTGTGATCTGGACAGCGTAGTGTAAAACTCGGGTACGCCACTTTGAAAACTGATGTTACTCGGACCGAAAGTTACAGCGAGCGGTCGACTTGAAGTCGAGAAAAACTGGTCAGAAGGTGAACGTTTCCAAAAGAAATGTGAAGCATTCTGGAAAAAATTTGCACATCAAAGGGCACAGGGTTCCGAAGAATGAGCTTTGAGAAAATGGTGTTTGAAATTTTGGGTGATGTGGATGTTTGAAGAGTAAAATAGAAGGTTGGACTTGGTTCTGTTTTTCCTTGCTACAGAATATTTGAGCACTGTCTGTTCACTGTGAAAAGTCGTGAAAATCTCTTTTGTTCGGTTCTTTGCCATATCAACAGGCCGAGAGCTAGAACTCAAATGTCCGCTGGATCGGAAAAGTAAAGTATCTTTCGTTTGGTATCCTATATTAATTATGTTAAGAAGGGGATTAGCATGAAAATTAGTCTTTTTTCATAGTCTTTCTCCATAGTAGTAGTGAATACTTTGAAATGTTAGTCAAAGTTGTTGGCTGTAGTATTAGTGTAATGTGATGTTCTGCTGTCTGTGTGTCTATCAGTGGGAGGACAAGAGGCAAAGTGGGTCGCTGTATATGGGTTTAACGCTGCTTTCAACACTTTTAGGTCACTAGAGAGGGGAGATTTAACGCTGCTTTCAACACTTTTAGGTCACAAGAGAGGGGAGATTTAACGCTGCTTTCAACACTTTTAGGTCACTAGAGAGGGGGGATTTAACGCTGCTTTCAACACTTTTAGGTCACTAGAGAGGGGGGACTTAATGCTGCTTTCAACACTTTTAGGTCACTAGAGAGGGGGGACTTAATGCTGCTTTCAACACTTTTAGGTCACAAGAGAGGGGGGACTTAATGCTGCTTTCAACACTTTTAGGTCACAAGAGAGGGGGGACTTAATGCTGCTTTCAACACTTTTAGGTCACTAGAGAGGGGGGACTTAATGCTGCTTTCAACACTTTTAGGTCATTAGAGAGGTGGGGGGGCTCCATTATGTCACGTCGGTCCCCAGTAGGACTGAGCCCAATGAGTTGACCAATGACAGCCTTGATGTCTCCACTACAGAACCCGAGTGGAAGAACTCCCAGCCTGGGGTTCAAACTTGGGCCATCCACTGACAGGCGCTAACAACAGGTGTATGCTTTCTTCTGTATGCTGAGAAGTTCATTAACTTTATCTTTTGAATACTGCTGCAATACTTCTTAGGGTCTTAAGTTGAAGTGTTATGTGTATTACATTTCTGAATACGTTAAACCGGGATGACTAAGTAAGGCTTATCTGGGAAAAAGTTATGATGATTTTTAAATGGGTTTTTTTCGATATCAAAAGTGATTTTGAGTATTTTTTCAATGCATTACCCAAAAGAGTAATCAATTTGGGGTGTATTTGCTTACATCATTTTCCCAGCTCTATGCCTCAGTCACGCCGGGGTGCCGTGGTCACCCCAGTTTACCGTATATGTGCTACGAATGTGATGACCTTGATTCTGCTTGTGTGAACCTGATTGGACAATAATTTGCTACGTGTGTTTTCCTATTGCTGTCGTCACTGGCAGTTCCCCCCCCCAGTAAGGTTGGGAGTCACACTCGACTGTCATTTATGTCCCGACCAAGGATAGTTGTGGGGAAAAGTGCAGAACAGGAAGATTTTCCCAGATTTTTCCTACACCGGCGGCTAGTATAATCCATCAGCAGAAGAATGGTTTAGAAAGTCCACCCCTTACTTATTCTTTTTATGGCGATCACAAAAAAAAAGGGTGGGTGAGGGGGGTGAGGGGGGGGGGCACAAATTGATAATTCATAAATTTTTTTTGCTTTCTTTCCTTTTCATTGCCATTGTCACAGTACAATCATCATTACTTGTGCAATGACTCTATGAGCCGTCTTATGTTACTTACGTACTATGTCATGTCATCCCCACTGCAATGAGCCGTCTTGTATTACTTACGTACTATGTCATGTCATCCCCACTGCAATGAGCCGTATGTTTTACTTACTATTGTTGCTATAATGAAATTGTAAATACGGTAAACCGGGGTGACTTAGGCATATCTGGGAAAATGTCATGATGATTTTTAGATTATTTTTTTCCGAATATATCAAAAGTTATTTTGAGTATTTTTTCATTGCATTACCCAAAAGAGTCATCGATTTTTGGTGTATTTTTACATTTTCCCAGCTGTATGCCGTAGTCACACCAGTTTACGGTATATATATATATATA